AGGCCCAAACTAACGGACTGATCCCAAACTCATAAGGAAAGTGTTTAAAGGTGCGTTTGCAGGTATCGCCCCACCTTTTAATAAACAAGGATTATAAAAGAAAACAGAACCGACGAGCATGCTAGCAGTGATGTACTGAGAGGAAGAGACGATGGGTCATTGTTTACCAGAGCAATTATTAGTAGTTATGAGCTCAGTGTGAAGACACCGCTGTGATTCCTTAGCCCTGTCTGTTCAGCTGTGATGCTACAAACGTGCTCTACACAGCACTGAGAGTGTTTTCATGTGTAGGATATTACTGGCTAACCTCATCAAACTGATGTATCTGTGACAGGCTGCTATTTGCAGATGTATCTGTGGCTCTAATGAATGAGAATATGTCATAATTAACTGTTATGTAGGGAAAATCACTGTAGTTGCCTTACTGGCCCATGCAGAGCCAAACTATTCATACACAGGAACTTTCTCATGTCTCATTAATAAGCAGTAGTTAGAAGTGATTAGAAGATACAGTACTATGTATTTTGCAGCAGATGCTTCCCCTACATGAGCTGCTTCTGGTTTCTTCCTGTTAACTGGGAGTTTTTCCTTCCCACTGTTGCCAAGTGCGGGGATTGTCTGATTGTGGGAGATTTAGATCTTTACCTTATAATATGAGGCGACTGTTCATAAAACGTAATTTAATTTCTTACTTTGGTAATTCTGAAGAAGGCCTTAAATCTGTATGTTATACTTGTATGGTAAGCGTTTTGTTGTCGAAGCTAATGAACGGTTCGTATGAGTAGGACGCAGTCTAAATCAGAGTGTATTGTCTTAATTGTGTTCTCCATATGGGAGTTTCACAGCTGCATTGCATCATGCAGCACAGGACAAATAAAGCTGCTTCTTCCAGTGTAAATGCCTGGTTTGTTCTCCGTGTGCTCGCTCTCAGGGAATCTTTTCTGTAACACTGCAGGTCTGAGAACATATCTGAGGATCACTGTGAACTGGCCTAAATTATAAGAAAAGAAAAACGCCATTAAGTGATGTTGTGTGTTTCTAAAGTAGAGCTTAGGAACATTTCAACTGGATGACAGCTGATAGCTTATGTTGCTCCACAGTCCGTATGACCTAAAGAAACCAGGAAAATACAACAAATTAATTTAGAACAAACATACAAAGAAACCTTTGCAAAGCTTGATTATGGAAGGCAGAAAGCAACGAGGCTGACAACAGGAAACGTTTTTACTGGGTGGAATAATTCTTTGATTGTAGGGCTGGGCGATATGGCCTAAAATTCATATCGCGATATAATTTGAAGCATGTGCGGTAACGATATATATCGCGATATA